CTTAGAAGAGTTCAGTTTGTTTTAAATAAGTAAGATTGAAAAATCAAAGTCAAATTAAAAATATTAACCATAACACAACCAAGCTGTGAGTTATGGAGCGAAACGAAATATTTGAGGTGGGAACTGGGAAGGGGCCGCGCGAACGCAGGCCCCCGCTGCCACAAATTATGACGTAGGCTCTGCCGCTTTGGTCAGACCTTAGGCGAGCACACCTCCGAACGTGCAATGGAGGTCACTAACCTAGGCCATAGGYTTTGCTGATCGCCCAGAAACCCCGTCCAGGTAAGTAYGTTGTTCTGCGGCCCGTCCATCTGGTTTTATATCACCTCTGCGCCTCCCTTCTTTGAAACCTCACCGATGTGGGACTAATATCTAATATTTCTGTTTGAATATTGGTTACTGCTTCGCTTCTTGAGCAGTAGAGTAGAGTTCCCATTTTCCGTTTCCTTAATAGAATTAAATTAAAGAATTAATAACATTTTCCTGGAAGATATATTTAAATTAAAAATGAAAAAAGACACTGATGCGTGTATGTTCTTTTAAATGTACGTGGGTTGATTTGATACATTTCGACAATGACGAATCACAAAATGTCACGTAACAATGACAAAATTTTATGTCATTAAATTAAGACCAATTAGAACTTCACTGTGTCTTTAAATTAAATTAAAAGATATTAAAAATTCAATAGGCTCAAGTTAGCAAAAACGTTCAAGTTAGCAATAGTTCATTCGGTAAACCCCAAGTTCATGAAATACCTTATAAATAAAGGGTTCATTCACCATCTAATTCATCTTGGAAATGATCAAAATCGTGGATAAATTCTCTCAAAATATCTCTGGGTCGGATTAAGGGAATTTTGTGGACAAATCCAAAAATTCGGATTGGTTAGTTTGTAAACCCAATTGAACCGAAGTGAATGACCAACCCAACCCAATCCTATATTTTTCGAGTTGGTTCAGGTTGGGTCATCGGGTTCCAACGAAGCTTATTTTCTTTACTGTGAATGAGGGCAGGATGGACCAAAATGTTTGAAATCCCTAATCGCTTGAATCAGCTTATTTTATTTGCTGCGAAGGAGGGCAAGATCGGCGAAGAAACTGAAGACAACTTTTGCTTTTCCATCACCAACCTTCCGTCCATAATTTTCTTCGATTGCGACGATCGATGATGGGTTTCGTTCGTACGTTGCGAAGTTCGACGAAAGGGAAAGCGAAGGTGGGGGGAAGGATATGAGTGAGATTGAAGGAGGTGAGAGAAGGGGGGGAGAGAGTGAGATTGAGGGGGGTGAGAAAAGGGTGGAGGGAGATGGGAGAGGAAGGGTAAGGTCAGAGAAGGGGAGGAAGATGAGGGAGATTGAGGGAAGTGAGAGAATACCAAAGGGGGAGAGAGAGAGGCGCAGGAGTGGGGGAAGGAGAAAGGCGGCACAAACCCTAATTTTTAATGTATATATTTTCAAATTTTGTGATTGGTTTGGTTCGGTTCGAGTTGAACCGATCAAAATTCATCTAATCCACAAATCGAACCGAATTTTCAGTTCTCAAAAAATTCAATCAAATTCAAACCGAAAATTTTCATAATCCAATCCAACCTTGAATTTGGTTGGATCAAGATCAATGAAGCCAGAAGGTCGATCAAAGATCAATGAGTCCAAAAGGCCGATCAAGATCAACCAGAAAAACGAGGTTGATCTGCAACAAGCCATCTCAATGTATTTTCTTTCTCATTTTGTTAATTATTGTCCATATATAATCAATAAATTTTCTTTAGTATTATTTGATTAAACGAAGTGTATCAAATTTTAAGAATGCATTTCAATTCAACGAACGCCGACATAAAGGCCAAAGAGTAAATTAGAGAGAGAAACGAATAGGAGATGCACTTTAAAACCGAACAAACATTTTAATTTATAATTAGGCAGGGGCCGCGCGGACGCAGGCCCCCACTACCACAAATTATGACGTAGGCTCTGCCACGTTGGACAGACCTTAGGCGAGCGCCCCTCCGAAGTGCAATGCAGGTCACTAACCTAGGCCATGGGCCTTATTGATCGCCCAAACAACCCCGTCCAGGTAAGTATGTTTGTCGGTGGCCAGTGGATCACGTTTTATAGCCCATGCGCCCAACCCTTCTTTTGAACTCTTCCGATGTGGAACAAATACATGAACTTCGGAACAAAGACGACCTTTGGTTTTTTATGCTTTATTTTTGTTAAAATCCTTTTCTTTTCTCTTAAACAATTTGTTAATTGGAGCGCCACTGGAAGTTATTTGTTATTTATTTATTTAGCAAAGCTGTTCATTTAATCTTAAAGTTCTATAATTTAGTTTTAAAAGCCATCACTTTTAGTTTCATGACATTTAACTTTAGTTTCCATTTGATTCTCAAGTTTCGGAAGTACAGTTTTGATTTTTCAGGTTTGGACATAGTTTCTATTGGGTCATTGAGTTTAAGAAAGAATTACTTTTCATCTTGTGAGATTAAATTTTTCTTCGACTTGGTCATTGAGTTTAAAAAGTGATATGTTTGGTCTTGAAGTTTGAATTAAATTTTAATTGGCATATGAGGTTGAGTTTGGTTTCTAATTGGTCCTAAGTGGAATTTACCATTTGTTGACCTAAGAGAATAATGATGTGGTAGAACATATGTTAACTAGAAAATGAGATATTTCTAAAATGACTTATAAAAGGCCATGGATAATGAAAGAGGTTGACCTCCTGGTCTATCTATTTGTGTGTGTTGGAGGCTAATTATCGCCAAATCGGATTGAGTAGTAACTTGCTTGTCAGAGTGCTAACATTGTCTTGCTGGTACCTCAGACGTCAGCAGCTCTCATATCTTGACCGTTTTCATCGTTTTCAGTATTGAGGATCAAACAATATGCATTAGCTTGACTCACTTTTTTTAAAATATATGGTTGGTGGCTGATAAACTTGGTTGATTGCATGGTAAATTACAACCTTGTCAATTGAAATGTCTGTTGGAGTGGAAAAAAGGAAGAAGAGAAGGGAGAGAAGAAAAGGAAGAGAGAAAAGCACCAGCACAAGAGAATAAAATTATAGGTAACAACAAAGAGCTTTAATATTCTAAACGTAACGCCTTCCAAAAAATTAAGTTAGTCTAACAATTTTTAAAATACTTATTTTCATAAACCTTTCTACTTTGTTTAAAAACCTTAGAATAGTGGACTTAAAAAAAAGGCCATTTTCCGTTTTGTTTAAACGAAGAATAATATACCGAAAACTCGAGTCCATTTACTATAGAAACAAGATTAATTATTTGAAGTGAGAACTGGGAAAGGGCCGCGCGAACGCAGGCCCCCACTGCCACAAATTATGACGTAGGCTCTGCCACTTTGGGCAGACCTTAGGCGGGCACCCCTCCGGAAGTGCAATGGAGGTCACCAACCTAGGCCATGGGCCTTGCTGATCGCCCAATAACCCCGTCCAGGTAAGTATGTTCTTAAGTGGCCCGTCCGTCTGCTTTTATACCCCCTCCGCGCCTCCCTTCTTTGAAGCCTCACCGATGTGGGATTAGTATTAAACTGAAACAAAAGTTCTTATTTTCTATATATAATCATTAAATTTTCTCAAAAAAGGGAAAAATAAACAAACAGAAAGTAGAGAAAGCTAGGAGTGAGAGATTATCTCCTGCTAAATTTTAAGAAATGTTGCAATTTTATCTCCTACTAAGTTTATTCTTGAAGAATTTTTGAAAAAATAGTTTCCTCGAAAGAAAAAAAATTGTTGAAAAAATAGTGTCATGTGTGTACATTGAGTTATAAAATTAATATTTGATATGAAATTGATAAATATTTTTAAAAAATAATAGAGCTTGTTCTTTTTTTTTTTTTAATTTGAAAGTTTTGACAAAGTTATTTAATTGTCAATTTGGTACATTTTAGGGTGTTGGTGCAGTGACAAGAGTTTAAGTGTTGACATTCATGATCCAGCCCTCCTGTGTCAATAAATCAAAAATAAAAGTCGTCATTAAATTTGTATAAAATTTAATTTTCATTAGATCAATGAGTTCTTTGGAGTCTTTTTATTCTTTTTTCTTTCTTTTTGGTAAAATTAGTGAGTGCATTAGTTGAAATTAATAGAGAGTAATAATTGCAACATTTATCTAATTTTATAGTTCAATTAAACGGAATTGAAAGCTTTTAAGTTGAAAATTGATGTAATTTATAGTAAAATCTTGGTTTTCCCTCTAGTTTCTAATATACCAATAATTTATATTATTTTTTAAATTAGACCATGCAAAAACATTATATATATAACAATCCAATAATAACTATAATCTACATGCTTTCCCAACGATGTGAAACATTGAAAAAAAAATTTACCAAAATATTAAGGAGTTGGTAACACGTTCTCATTTATTATTTCAATGAATTAATATGAAACTAAAATTATGTTTGACAAGTATTTACAGTTTATTGTTTCTTATCTTTTATTATAGAAATAATTTGGTAAAAAAAAATTTGTTCCCTCAAAACTTATTTAATTTTGTTCTTTAGAACAAAATATTAATATCTTTCATATTTATTACACATTTTGATGGTAAAATAATGATGTTATTTACATCTTTAAAAAAATTGTAAATGGGACGAGGAACCATATTATTGTTGTGTGCCCAAAAATTTATATTTAATTTCAAGAACGTTTTAAAAAAATGCAGCTACAAACTCTTAATGAGTAAAAAAATTAGAAACAAGAAACAAGTGGTAGAGTAGACATATATACACACTCAACCAAAAATCATAATATATATAACCTATGCCAAAGTATACAAATATATAGTAGCAAGCAAAACAAAAACATCACCAAAGCTTTATATATATATATATATATATATGACCAAAATTATACATTAATTATACATATATTATGATAGTATATATATATTATAACTATACTATGAAACACATGGATATTTGTACTGATTATTTCATAGAGCCTACTACTACTCATAGAGTGAGATGTGATATTGGTGATGGATTTTTGTTTCATCAGTTGGGGATGAGCTTGAAAGGAGGCTTCACAAAAGCTGGAGCTGGATCATACCTTCCATAATCTTTGGTGTTTGCCCTCAGAAGCCTTTCATGGATGTCTTCCATTTCACCCATTCTCTTCCTCCTTCCATCCTGATAATATATATATATATATATCTTTTCAAAACTAATTTCATCTAATCACTTAATCACAATAGTTGATTAGTTATAAGGCCAATCCCGTTAGATTTTTCGTTATCCGCTCGGTGATCTCGATTGCTTCAATATATATAATATGGGTGTTTACGTTACGTTAAAAGATCAATGTAGGTTTGAACTCAATGATATGTTATAGACTTGTTGAACTCGAATAACCTTAGTTTGATCTTAATATGGGTGTTCATGAGTTTCTAGGGCACGAGACGTCGTTTGAAAAGAAAATAAAAATGTTACACAAAAGAAGCTCTTAAGAGTGTGTTTGAGAGTGATGGTAGTATTAATGATTTTGAAAAAAGAGATTTAAGTATAATTGATTTTTCAAAATCATCATTCGAGTGATATTTTAAAAATAAATTTAAAGTGATTTTAAACTGTCTCAAAATCAATTTCTTTATTTGCCAATCATGGAAAAAGGAAGTGATTTTAGCAATGACAAAAGTAATTCACTCTCAATCACACCCTAAATGATTTCATCATGAACTCAAATTTCCTAAATGCCTCCTCTTTTTTTCACATCCCAAACATCCATTTGGATCAAAGAATTATTATTTTTCCCCCTCATAATTTGTTATCATTTCAAAGGACTCAGATACTTTTTTTTAATATGTTTTAACTGTTCCAACTATATTTGAGTCACCCGAAAGGGACCAAATAATTTTAACTCGGGTTCGGCATAAATCGCCGCGGTACTAAATCGGAGAAAAACTCATAAAAACTAAAGAAAATTCAGAAATAATACAAACCTGATGCACAACTCCACCAGTAGCAGCCTGAGGAACCAACTTAGAAGGTCTCCCTGCAAGCAAAGGCACAACACTTCAGAAAAGCAGCAGCCAGAGCCAACCCAAAAGAAGCTTCAACACATTTTTTTAACCTTAAAAGTTAAAAACTTTGCTTTATGACAAAATAAAAAAGAAAAAAACATAACGAGGTTTATGTATTGTCAGAGACCTCAACAGCTCAGTTACCAATGAAAAGAGAGAGGGGAAAAATAAAACAAGCATTATAAGCCATAAAAGTTCTCTCTTCCTTAATTTGCACCACTGACATGCTGCGCATGCAAATAAGATTCTCTCTAATTGTCGAAAAGAACATGTTGGGATAATTGTTTTTTTTTTTCATTCATTGTTCTTAAGGGAAGATCAGAGTAAAATATTTGTAGATAGATGTGTGAATGGTAGGGTTGAATGGATAAATATATCGATATTTCATATAGCTTGTATAAATATTAACGAAACATAAAAAATTACATATATATAACTTCGTGAAAGAACTTAGGTATTAATTTAATTTTTTTTTTATAAATTTGTTGCTTTTTGAAAATATTTATTGATATCAATTTGAGAAATTGAAACCCCGAGATATTTCAATCAACATCACTGATTTCATCATTTACTTGGGTTTTCTTTCAAAAACATGTACTAGAAAAGTCAGAAAGAAAATAGACCATAACATCATATAAAAAGTAGCTTTCAAAGACGACTTTGCCAAAGATACGCCGGAAGAAAACAACACCTTGAGTTCATGTCATACCCTTGAGAAAATATTGAATATTACCACACTGATTTAGAAGTGAAAAGGCTCAAAATTAAAATATATGGACCTGTACTAAAAACCCAAGCTGAAAATGGACGACGACGACAACACCGACATAAAATTAGTTAGAAAAAAACATTATATATAAAAGGGTCATTTGAAACTTTCAACAAAACGATCKAAAAAAGATTGAAGGACCAACCTGCAGCGAAAGTAGTTGATAAGAGCGAGGTCGAGACGAGGAGGAAGAAGAGGAAGCTGAACTTGTACTTGAGAAACATGGTAGATAACAACCCTAATGATGTTGTATTGTGTGTTTTTCAAAGTTTGGCTTTTTTTCCCTTATTTTTTCTCTCTTGTTCTTCCAAAGAGCATAGACTGGCCTGAATAATGCTTCGTCCTTATGTATGGTTTAAGGGCATTGAATTGGCCAAAGTAATGGGGTCTTATAGATAAAGCTAAAAGTTGGCGAACAAATTATAAAGAATTGACCACAATTGTTGCTTTGATGCTTTTGAGTTTAAAATTCAAATGGAAAAGGCAGAAAGAGACCACTTTTCTTTTGTTGGGGCACTAAGTCTAGCTAACAAGACTAATTGGGTTTTAAGATATATAATATAGCTCCGCTCCACTTGAAATTATCTCATTCCCCTTCAAGGTAATACGAAGAAGAAAAAAAAAGTCAAAATTTTATGCATCGGACAAAATTAATGGTTGGGCTCGTAACACATTTAATATAGATCATCCACGGGTGGTGGCATAGTGGACTTGTGGTCGAGTGGAGTTATTCCTCCTCGATTTGAACCTTGTAGGACGCGTAGCCGGAGCTTCCTCCATTCAGGAACGAGTCATACACGATAGTTATAGTGTTGGGTGGCCGGCCGTCTACTCCAATTAAAAAAATTAAATAGATCTTAAAATGAGTGGATTTTGAATAAAAAAATGATATTTATTTTTAGGACAAAAAATGTAGTGAAAATATGTGTTGAGTGATTAGTTTATAAAGTCGTTCTAAATGATTTATCATTTTGTTTGTTCTCTCACGAGCGACCATTTCCCCCCTTTTTTTCCTCCTCAAAGCACATTATGAGATTGTGAAAGATAATTTGTACACAAACCTATCACAATTCTAAAACAAAAGGCCAAAATAAATCTCTATTTAAAAAAAAAAAAACTCTCAAACATGTAAATATGGAATATTATATATGTYCATTTAATAACGTTCTCATTCTTATTTCTAGTTTTGGAGAAATATAAGTATTTGGTAACTAATTTTGTTTCTTGTTTCTCACTTTTATAATATAGTTATCCAACATGTTTTTATTAAGAAAAAAAGAAACAAGAAATAATTATGAAATACAATTTTATTTTTCTTTACTAAAAAGAGAAAATAAGAAACAAGATACAAAAATATTACCAAACGCCTTCAATTACTCAAATTTCTATCTAAACATACTAAAAAATCAAAATGATGGTTTAAAACCAAAGTGATCACACCATAGATTAATTAATCATACTCTCTCAAACACTTAAATCCCAAGTTTTATTCAATAACGATCACTGGGATATATCAAAAAGGCAATAATTAGAATCAAAACACAGCTTTTTTTTAACAGAAAGTAAAAACGAGAGTTGAATCATGAGAGCAGTCATTAATCCATTAGTTAAGAACACTAATAAAAGACTCTGCTTGCTGTGTGGTAGAAAAAAAAAAGAGCAAACCCCCTTGGGATTTGGAAATATTCTTTGACATATTGAAGGAAGAAACAAACAGATCACTGGTAGCTGCAGGTGATGACTTTGGGTTGTGTAATAAAAAGGGTATGTAAGGACTGTAATGGAAAGGACAAAAAAGAAAAAAGAAAAAAACTTTGGACCTTATGCAATTGTGCAATTTTATGGATTAGTTTAGTTTAATTAGCTTTAATTAGTGCCTCAAAAAGAGAAATTAGTTAGGTTGGCTTATAAAATATTATAGCTTTTTGTGGAAAATGATAGTGCCATTATATATTTATCCTTAAAGACAAAGGCAACACACCAAATACCACTCAACACACCACACAATTGCATCATGGAGAATAAAGAGAGATGAAGATCAATAGCACTCTTGGATCTTTACTACTAAAATAATACCCCATCTTTCCCCTTTCATCCTTCTCAATCCATCTTCATTATATGTGTATAATTATGTCTTTAAACTTTGGATTATGCTTAGTTTGATTCCATTTCTTAAGATTTTGATATAAAATTAGTTGGTTTGATAGATTAAATACTATTATGATGTTTAATCTCTATGATGCATAACAACTGGAGAAATGTAGGCATGACACTCCATTTCTTAAAATTTACACGAGGTGACATGACATCAAAGTCTATATGAGTGGGCAGATTATTAATTAGCTTGATCCAAATAATTGCCCTCATTAGCATGCACTTCATTCAAATTTCAAGAAATAAGGTGTGTCGTATCTACACTTTGGTCTAGAAGTGTAGCTGAAGAGCGTTTCAAAGTTACGACTTTGTAAGCTTAGTCCTCTTTTGAGTCCAATAATTTTGAGGATGTTTTTCTCCATCCAGTGATGAATAGTTTGGTGAAATGTCAATTTGAATTCCATAGAAAAGTTTTGATTTTTTTAGTAGTTAAGGCAATATTCTCTTGCATATCAGATGGGTATTGAAGTAGAAAAGTTTCCTTTACCAGGCTAAAATTAGTATTACTTTGTTACAGCTGGTGAATGTTGTGCAACACTGCTATTTATTATTTATCAACCCATATTGTATGGATTTATGGGCCTAGGTTTCTAGGGAATGAAATAATAGATGACAAATAGGTAGGGTATAATAGTAAATGCACTCCTAAGTTTAGTAAATATTCCTTTTGTTAAAGAAGATGTTATCTATATCCATTGATGATAGTGATTATGAATAATTTACTTGTAATAGTAACAATACCATATATAGTGAAAAATTCTAACTATTAACAAAAAAAAAATACCAAAGAGTTTGTGGGCGAAGTTAGCATAGAAGGGATCGTCCATGGATTAAAGCAAATAGACTGTTAGAATTAATTTTTTAGAGTGTCGTGTTTCTTAAAAAGATTCAATTTATCTTTGTGTTGAAGTAGTCCAATTGAAATTGGATCAAAATAGGATGAGAATTGCATGGAAGTTTGATGAGATTAGTATCACAATATGGGCACATAATATTTAATCTATAAATCGAGCTTTTTGGCATTTTCTTTTGTGTGGGGACGTTTAGATGGACTAAATACGAGTAGGTGAACTAGTGGGGCTAGTTGTTGATTTATAAGATGATTGGACGAGTTTAGGATTAAGTGAAAGTGAGTAAAAAACATGTACAATTTTCTACATGTTGTCATGTTAGGATCTAGTGTGCTATATCAAGTTAAATTACCTGAGTTAACGCTAAAGATGTAATTCGACAATTTTCAAAGTTGAAGGACGAAATCACACCAATAAATTAAAAATCTATGAATTAATTTTCGATATTCTACAAGGAAAAACAATTGAAAATTTATATACTATTATATAAACCACTATCAAACAAAATAAATTTTCAAAATTGAAAAACATAATACAATAAAGGAAAATGGGTAACAAAAAGCAAAAGAGCATTGATTGAACAATGACCTCAAAAGACAACACTTCCCCATTCATCTTTCTTCCAAATATGATATATTTTTCACAAAAGAGTTTAAATTATTATCCATATAACTTTTAATAATTATATCTATTTAGTCCAAGACAGTTGTAAATATACTTTTATTTACTATATACTATTAATACCATTAACAAAACATTAATTTGCCATCTCATCAATGTTACCTAAATTTATTCAATGAAAAAGAAAAAGATACTTTGAAATTTGAATAAGTGAAGTTTTTTTTTAATATATTATATATATAAAAAAAAAGGCATGCCAAGTTTCTTAATTGGGGGACCAGTGGTGCAACTAAAGCACACTCATTGAGTTGTGTTTGTTACCAAACAATAAAATATTTATTTATGCAAAAAGATTTGACAAATTAGAGTGGTTAACAATTTTGTTAGCAAAGCAATACAACATCCACCACTATCCCCTTTATATCTTCTCAATTTTGTATATTAAATTTGAAACATAACGTATTTGGTTTCCTATGATACGATAGATCTTTGGATATCAAATAAATATATGACACCACCCATTAATGCATATTTACCTAACTACTAATTTTTTTTCAATGAAGATTCAAATAATGGAGATTATCTGACTTTTTCTTTGAATCTTATAATGTTYAGGGCTAGTGTGATAATATTTTCATTTTAAAACACTTTTTCAGTTCTCATCCTAATTGTCAATCCGAACTTAATTCAAAAGTAATCGACACATAAGAGGTCACTAGTTCGAACCTACACTCCCACTTGTTGTACTAAAAAAAGAAGTTCTTACCCTAATTTATATGTAAAAGAAAAAAAATTTTAATTCTACTTTTATTTTCAAAATTTTATACCTATTTGGTTTTGGTTCAATCCCAAGATTTTCAAATGCTTGTTTTGATCGTTTAACTTTTTCATTGTCTTTTTTTTTTTTTTTACAAATTTTTAGATGCATTTAGACAACTTATAATCTATTGCACGTAGTATAATGAAAATCATCACCTACGGAGTGATTTATGAAAAAATTTGTGGCAATAAACAAAATATATTTTTGTATAAAGTTTATAAACAAAATCAAAACATTTGAAAGTTTAAGCTAAAATAAAATAGGGGCATTTACCTAAATAGCATAAAATCAATATGTATTAAAAAGAATGTATTTTAAATATAGCAAAAAGATTGAAATTTTACCAAATTAACATAATCCAAATCAAATTAAACACAATTAAAGAAGTCACACTAATGCTATAGTTGAAAAAAAAATTATAACATTTTAAAACATACATATTAAAAATCTTCACCTACTGAAATTTCTAAATAAAAATAATACACATGAAAATTCAAAAGCCAAAATAAGATTTAAATCTAAATTGATTTATCATAATAATATAACATCATTGCCAATATAGCAAGCAAAAAAAAAAAAAAAGAAAAGCCAACCCTAACCTACCCATGGAAAAGACTAAAATAACATTAAAAAATCTGTAGTGATAAACTAGATCCTAGATTAATGTAAGTGATAATGATAGTAATATACAAAGGTAGGAAGAGAATTACATAGATATGTCTAACCAGGCACGTGAAAAATGAAAAAAAAAAATTGTCATATTCATAAAATCGTAATCACGTCATCATATTGCAAATATGGTAATGTGAATTACACCCCGCTAGAATTTTCCAACGACATGTTAACTAGTATCTATATAGTTTACCAAGTTGTAAATGTTGCAGACTGTTGCAATGAAAATTCTCTTTTTTTTTTTTTAATTAAAGAAACGATTTATAAACCCAATTCTCAAATATGATTTCTTACAGTTCATTTACAAGAAGAGTAGATTATATACTACAAATTACAAAATAGGATAGAAAATGTTAAAAAAAAAAAAGAAGGAATTCTCAACAAAAGCATACAAAAATATCAAGAAGATTCACTTTGTTCAAAATATATAGAATCAAAAAGAATATCATCAGATCACCACCATCCTTAAGCAAAAAGCATTAAGGAGAGACTAACGGTTGCCATGGAAGTGTGAGATCAAGAAGTCGAAGCAACACCAATTGCTCTCTCACTTTCATGCCTCAGGCTGTTTTCTCTGCTGTAAGCAGATTTTGCACCCTGAAAAAGTTAGCAAGCAGATGTGGCTCAATAAACATACATGTTACGTAACGAAACCGTCTCATATGGAAGTTCTTTTGATGGCTCTTACTTGGAGGATCGCTCCAAACTTCTTCAGTGCTCTGGCTCGAAGCCTCAGCACGTCCTTCGACACACTGGGGTCTCTAAGAACCTGATAGAGAACAGACGGTTTATCAATATATATGCTTCCTGTGAATGAAGATGACTCGAAGTTTATTTATGTTGTCCTTTTTCGTGTGCATCAGTATATGTTCAAGGCATAACCAAGGACAGACTACTCATTTTCTTGTGAAACTAATCGAAAGTTCATTTTCATTTCCTTGAGATTTACAAATGGTGGGAAAGGGGTCGAGAAGATCGGTTAAAATGAGAAAGACACTTATCTAAAAATTAGACTACTAAAGTTGATATTTTTCCAATCTACAAAAATGTTCGAATATAGCTCAGTAGACAAGACACCTATCTCGAGTAAGTTTTTTATTACAAGGCAAAATATATAATCAACCTCACAATCCTGAGCTAGACAGTCCTGGGCTAGGCAATAGTAGTTTTAACTTATAAAAAGTATGATATCGTGACTCACCGTTTGGCAGACACGTGATAGAGTTGATTCGATATCGACCACATTAATCTGCCAAAGCGAGTTAAGAACAGCATCTTTCTTGGCTTCAATGGCTTTCTCCAGGTCCTCGTCTCTGTTATCTCCTTCGTTCAACCTCTTCAGCTCTTCCTGTAATTGAATCAAAGAAACAGCACCTGCATAAAAGTGCACAAGTTAGGATCGAAATCAAAGGTTCGAAAGCTTTTATAACCAGGAGAGAATTATACCCGAAGCTGCCATCACTTGTGATTTTATCTGGTGTCCTTTGTCTCGCACCCACTCCGCTAAAAACGGCACATTCATATAACGTCTGTCCTTCCCAAGTTCCTTAGCAGCCCTCCTTGTGTATATGTATCCAATGGTGTGCAGCATAGTCTCACCAAAAGCTGATTGCAAATAACTTGTGCGTAAATTTGCAGGAGGTAAAAGGCAAGTAATGTTTTTTTCCCCAAGCATTATAGAACCTGGGTAACTAGAGTGTTTGAATGATTAAAGGTACCGGCGTCTGAGAGTCGTCGCGCTTCTGAATTTGCCCATTTCACAAACTCGTCAGTCCGACCTTCAACATATGGTTGGAGGCGGTCATTCAAAATGTTTATGAGTTTCTCTTCCCTTTCCTTTTGAAACAGCTGCATTTTTACAAGTATGGGTAAATAGCATTGCAAAAGTCTGCATTTACATCTGCATCACTGAACTTGAGGAAAAAGCATACCTTTATCTTTTCCTGAAATTTTATCCTGCGAATTTCAGGGTCTGGTGAATCTTCGTCAATTTCCAAAGTTGCCAATGCAGCCAAAGCAAGCTTCCCAACATAATCTTCAAAATAGTCACTTCCAAAAAGCATACCAAACACCGCTGCAGGGTCCACCATGGAGTCCCTATGAAAAACGGGGAAAATAATTAGGGGATTATCCTATCCATATTTTTGCCATAAGAATAAGAAACAAACCGATAAACGGAAAACAGAGCAGTTGAAAAGAATCAGTGAAACGTAATTATAAAATAGTACTTATCAAGAAGACTGAGGTTAGTTTCGGACCTTTCGGTTAAGAATCTATATAAAAGATTAAACGCCATAAACTATAACCTAAAAGTAGTGGCAGTTTAATACTCTCGTACCTATATTAGAGTAGGAGAACTCGTCTTCCCCAATTAATATTCTGTTAGGATCCCAATACAAGAACCTAACTAGAACACTATACTGCAATTCAAAAGAGTAATTACAATATCGATAGCCTTTCGAGAGGGCTATCTCTCTCCCAAAGAACTCTCTCAAGTTCCTTACACAAAACTGTTCTCCAAGATATCTTCCCTCACTCCCTAATACTTCTATTTATAACAAACTCACCCTTAACTAATTATCATAATGCCCCTAACTACAATAATAATACTATTCCCCAAACAACCCCTATTAAGTCTCTCACATATTCACTTGATGATCTATTTCTAAATCCGCAAGTAAGGGGAAAGTTAAAGAATAAATATATAACCTAACCTATCTACTTAAGTTTTTGGATTTTAGCAGTGGTCCAACGGTTTCCAAACTAGCAACATAACACCAAGTTTTTTATGTACACCAAGGGATAATCATTTTGTACAAAACACAAAACAGAAAAGAAGTCCATGCCTCACAGCACATTCTCAGTCTAAGAAACTTACTGTTGTACTCCTGCCTTCCCATACTTATCATATGCGTCACGCTTCTCGGGATCACTCAATACCTGATAAGCCTCTCCCAGTACCTTCAGATCATTACAAGCAATTGCATAAATAATCACATTTCGGATTTGCTATTTGACAATAAAACAGACAGATTCGGCTCACAAAATAGAAGAGAAGAGACTAAACAGAGTTAGTAACTTCAGTTCACCTGAAAATTATCAGCAGCTTTTGGATCTCCTCGGTTTTTGTCTGGATGAACTTGCCTTGCCTGAAATGTGAAAAGTAGACGTCAAAGTTATAAGATGTCCCAACATTTAACAAAGTTTCCGCCCCAACATACCCTGTGGTAAGACTTGAGATGTTTAAAGATACTCTCTAAAGTCTTCAAGCTGGCCTTGGGATGGGCGGAGCCTTCTTGAAGGCTAGTCGGTGGCCCGAGTATAGACCCAGTACTCTCTTGTGAAAAAAATAGGTTACAAGTTTAGTCCTTAAACTTTCAAAATTGTCTAATAGGCTCCTGAACATCTTTTAATATTCATATATCTATTAGACACAAAATTAAAAAATCATGGTCCTATTCTATTAGACGTAGAATCCAATTTTGTGTGCTTCGTGAAATTTTATAAATATGAAATAGATCAAGGACCTATTAGATACAAGATTGAACGTTTAAGAACTTGTTAACCACTTTTTAAAAAAAAAATTCAATGACCTATTAGAAACGATCTTGAAAGTTCAATAAACTTGTAATTTAACCCAAAAAAGTATCTAACAAAGTTTCGTCATCCATAACATAAGACATCCCCAACGTTAACAACATGCAGCTAAGACAAAGAAGCAACATATATTTCTCAGAGATTCAGGAAAACGGAAAATTTTAAGAGATTTAATCATCATGGCATGGAAAATCACCTTAACGTAGTAAGCCTTTTTAATTTCTGCAGGGGAGGCACCAACGCCGACACCCAATATATCATAATATTCAGTCTCCCTCACCATATCTTTTGAGTCTCAAAGCCTTTGAACTTCAGCCACGTTCGATGATATCACAGCCTAAATGGGAAAGAAAGAACAAATCGAACAAAATGAAAAAACAATAACCATTTTTCATAACAATGATCATATCCAACAAATCCAAGGCATTCAAGTTGTTAAAATTCAGCTATAACCTCACGGGCATGGAAGAATATCGAAAGAAAACTAAGAAATCAAACACAAAATTGAACGAACTTACAAGGTATTGATGGAAGCAGATCCGGGGAGCAAATAGCGACCTAGAAATGAGTACCCAAATGATTGAGATTAGGGAATCGAGGAACGGGTTTAATATAAAAATTGCTGAAGAAGGCGGCAGCGACACGGATCACAGCGACGGAGGAAGAATCTGAGAAGGAGATGGTGGAAAGATGAAAAATCGGGTCGGAATCTTTTTGCAAATGCAATAAAGGTTTCTTAATTTAGAAGTTCAGATTGGATCTTTTATGTGGTTACTGGGAAATTGGTTGGTTTCAGACAAATTTTCTCTCAACGAGTAATGTCCAGAGGATTTTTCATTAACCGTTATTGGGATTTTGTCGGAAATAGGAAGATCAGTAATTTCTCTTATTAGCTCTATTATTATTTTTTATTTTTTTTAAGCAAGCTCTATTATTATTTTTTATTTTTTTTTAAGCAAGCTCTATTATTATTATTATCTTAATTTAAACCTATTTTAGTTCTTTATTTTCGTATTTAGTTCCTAAGCTCATCCATTCTTAAATGTTAATGTCTCATTTTCTAAATCTTCTCTGATTCTTTTTATCCTATGCTATGTCCTGGTAAAAAAAAAAAAATCAAAAATCTTACTTAGCAACTAAGCTTAGATTCGCCTCTGTCCTTTCTTGAAAAAAAATACATTATAAAACTAAAGTATACAATTGTCCTTCTTCAAAAAAAAAATTATAATAATAAAAAAAAATTATATATATATATATATATATATATATATATATATATATATATATATATATATATACATACAATTGTCCATTCGAATATAATTTAGTGGTTAAAATACTTTGTCTAACATTTTCAAAATGGATAGTTCAATTATTTACCCTTGCGTCAATCTAAACTTAACTCAGTGCGTGAAGGTATATATGTACGACTAGAAGGTCGTGAGTTTGAATCCTCTACCCACACATGTTGTACTAAAAATAATACTTACCCTTGCAATTATTGATTTAAAAAGGAAAAATATATACTATTGAGGATTAGAGTAATATACGATAAACAAATAAATACAATCAAATATGCATATTTTGTTGGGAAGATCCATGCTAGATACGTATTTATTAACTATCGCAAGAGACGATTGTTCTACTATGCTCTAGTGTGAAAATTAAATGACTCGAAGGAGTCTCGATGAGGTGTAGGGGGACATGCTTGTGCGCTTCTAACGAGGATACCTCACGTTTAACGTCCCTTTATGACTTTCCCGATCGGTGCCTCAGGTCGATAGCCAGGCTCTGGGACATTACGGGGAGTCCCTGTTTGTTTGATTTATTCCAGAAAAAGCGGTAGCCTTGTGCATTGATTATCGAGCGCTCAACAAGGTAACCTTGATGCTTCACGAGATCATCAAAAGACTCCGACGCCATGACATACATTAAGATGTTATGTGATGAATATGAAGATTGCAAAATAGATAATTCAAGTTTTGACACCCATGTAAGTAGCAACCGAAGTGTTCTCAAAACAAACTATCAATCACATAAACGCCCTCTTAGCCTATCTCATAACATTCAATTTCCACGTTGGAGAATACCATAATAGTTGAGCTAAAAAAATATATTATATAACATTCATAAAAATTATATATATTTTAAAATTAACTAAAAAAATCCGTATTTTATATCTTAGTTAATATTTAACTAAAAATTTTGGGTTAAATTATTATTTTGGTTCCATACTTCCACTTTTGGTTTATTATGGTCTATGTACTTTCAACTTTGGTTAGTACTTTCAAAATGTCCGTTTTGATATTTATACTTTTAAAAAATGTCATTTCGGTTCATATTCACAAAATCTTAACACAAATTATACGTATAATAGAAATCCTTTATTATAAAGTCAATTACTTTTCAAAACATATATTGATTGTAGTGTCATGTTGAAATTGTGATAGAAAAAATGAGATAAAAAATATAATAAGTGACCGAAATAGCCATTTTTTTATTATGGTAATGTTTTTTTTTTTTTTGAATATAATAAAATATAACTTTACGTAAAGTTTATTAATTCTTTAATTTAGTTCTATAAAGGAAACCAAAAATGCTCTGTATTGCTGAAGAAGCGTGGGTAATTGGTTTAGTTGAATATTAGTCCCACATCGGTGAAGTGCAAAAGAAGAGAGGCGCGGAGGGGGTATAAAACCAGATGAACGGGCCACCGAAGAACATACTTACCTGGACGGGGTTTTTGGACGATCAGCGAGGCCTATGGCCTAGGTTGGTGACCTCCATTGCACTTTCGGAGGGGTGCCCGCCTAAGGTCTGCCCAAAGCGGCAGAGCCTACGTCATAATTTGTGGTAGTGTGGGGGCCTGCGTTCGCGCGGCCCCTTCCCAGTTCTCACTTCAAGTATTGTAACTCAGCTTCTGTAAGTGATGGAATGACAAGAAATTTCGTTTGGTGAACCAAGGGGTTCAGATTCAGCGGCATGAGCGAGAAGCCCATGCAATTTCATGCCCGAATCACCAAATCAAGAAAGCCGAAGACGAAGAAACCTTTACAATGCTCTTACTGTTTAACGAATACGAGGGCTCGACCGGATGAGTTTTCTTATCCATTTCTCCTGAATTCGTGTGCCCTTTTGCGGCTTACCCACTTGGGAAGACAGAGTCATGGACTCATGGATTGGTTCTGAAGTTGGGTCTGGCGTTGGACTGTTTTGTGCAAACATTGTGTTTCAAATGTACGTCGGAATTTGGCGACTCGGGTCTTGCATATCAAGTGTTTGTTAAAATGTCCATGAGAGATGTAGTTTCAAATGGACTTGAAACTTTTCCAATTGCAACATTACAGGGAAAAAACTTGCTACTGCTGTTGGACTGATCCTATTAAACATGAATTCTGAAATTCAAATTGTTAAGAATTTATGGTCCTGCGAGTACTGCCATGAGTTTATGAAACCGATCTCAAAGATTTACGAAAGGGAGATCATAATGAGGGATAGAATCTGCTTCCACCATTTCGGGAATGGCAACTGCTCTTGCAAGGACTATCAGTAGCGGGTCGATTTTTTCCAGAGCAATACTGATGAGAAGTGCAAAAGTACTGTGTGGGTGGGTTGGACCAAATTCTTCAGCTATCCAATGCGAGTAGAGAAGCAATGAAGAAAATTGAATTAGAATACAAAAATTGCATATGCAGAAGTTATGAACCAACCAATTCAGTTTATTCAGCACATTGCAGTTAACAAGTTGCAAACTGTGGATGCCTAATACAAAGTCATTGGGTGTTCTATATCTCTAGTCTCTTCTAAGAAGTGCTTTTGAGAGAACGGCTACAACCTCCACTCAACCAATATACCATGCTGAATTGGATCAAAAAGGGCCTCAAAGGGGCAGCCCAATTGGCAAGGACTTGAGGTCTTAGGACTTGGGGGTTTGTCATTCTGGCTTAGAGGTCTAAGTTAAAACCTTATGGTGAGTTTAATACCAAAAATCCTTGATGTCACCTGAGTCCGGGCCTTGAAGCAGGTGAGAGTGTACTTGGGTATAAGGGAGTAAAGCTTCAGACTCATAGTTATATAAAAATATATATATAAAATAGGTACTACTGAACCTAGTGATTGATTACTTTATGCTACTATTTGACTTTGCCCTAGTTTAAGGATGAGAAGAACACTACTACGGAACCTAGTGACGGATTACTTTAGGCAGCTATTCACTATAGTGCCTTCGCCTAGTTCATCTTCAATCCAACAATTCAAAATTCAAAATCAAAACACAGATTTGTGGATCCATTTCTTCCCATCTTGGATTTCTACATCTAGGATCCAACCTGTCTCAATACTACTAGGAATTCACGACAAGAATACAGTTGATCTGATCTCTAGTTTCGATTGAAAGCTTAACTTCAGGTGCAAGTATGGAATATTTACTGTTCCTGGAAACTACTTGGATGCAGACATTGAACAAAGTAGCATTATTAAGGGTACTGCTCCCCTCATATGCTCACATGTCAAGCCACAGATTATGGAGGGAAAGGTTTCTTTGCAGCCCACAGCCTCGTGGATATTTTGGAGATTCCCCCCTCCCCCACCATGCCCATCTCTTAAGGTAAATAAATACACATTTGCCAGAATCCACAATACTTTGATATTTTGTGAAACATTCGATGGCAAAACCGTTGTAGCAGAGAATATTTTCTGGACAGACTTGTTTTTCATTATCACTACATAGTCTGCCCCACTTACTTCTCTCCCTTTAGGTCATACCAGTATCATCTTTAAAGTAAGCACTTCTTGTGGTTTGGTAGAATAGTCAAAAGAGCACGTTGTAAATTTAGATATCTATGATTGACCAGTTAAGCTATGCTCATATCGGTTGAGTTGCAAAATCTATAAACCATATATATACCATTGTTAGATTTCATGGTATTGATACATATAGCTTATTTTACATATGTATCTATCTGGCTAACAAAACGATATGATTGCAGATATACAATCGACAATGCCTTTTTGAATAGGAGGTAGGATAATGGAGTTGATTTTGGTAAGCAGATGCATGAGCTAAAACTCTCATGTCCTGCTAATCCTTCGAAAAAGTAAGGTTGTCAAATGGCTCATAGGGGTCAGAAACAAGCAAAATCAAAAGCGGGTCAAACTCACATAAAAGCGAGAAGCCGTGGGAGACTAGTCAAACTATGAATAGATATCCCACTTTCAGGTAARAGTATGAACATCTATTAGTCTTATCATGGGTCTACTTGTTACAAAAGGCGAACGTCCCTATTCCAAAACATACTCATAAGTGAATAAGCAACCTACGAAGGTGTGATTTGTAATTATCTCTAAGATTAAACTAATCAACCTTTTTTTTCCCTCTCCATTAGCCTTCCACAATCACCTTTAAGAGATAACATAAAGCCCAAGAAAAGAAAACTCCTCACCATTTGACTATAATTTTTTCTCAAAGTCCCCATTAAATTAACTCAAATGATAAGATTGTTGGTCCCAATACACATGATGAAGCCATCAAGGACATGGCTGAGCACATGCTTCTCACCATTGTTGAAGCATATTATATTCCTCACCATCCCAAAACTGATGAAGCCACCAGCCAGTTTCTTTCTTCCTCCAAAAATGCAATCAGATCCAAAAAAAGAAAAAAAAAAGTTTCTGATTTTGAATTTGGTATTTTATTTGCTCCCTCTTTTAGGGTATGGGCAGAATGTTTTGAAAATTTGATTAAAAAAATAAATAAAAAAGAAGATTAGAAACCACCATGCCTAACCTTCTTTACGTCTCACCAACCAAAACCAACTTCTTCCCCCCCTTTCAACTTCAATGACTTAATATTCAGTAAAGTTAAAGAAAAAAAAAAAAGATTAAAAAAGAAAGAGTCAAAATCCAACTTGAGAACTTTTTATTATTGTTATTTTTTAGAGAGTAAAATCCTAGTCAATTGAGAGCCTACTTTAGTGGAATTTGGGTCACAAATTCACAATGTTATTGTGTACCCTTCTAGAAGGAGCCTCAATCCTGAAGCAATCTAGTGCTAAAAGTACTTAAGGGATATACAACACTCTATACCGACCTATTTATAAATACCCTGGAATACGATTCATATTTTATATATAATATGTAGTAAAAAATGAATTTGTTTAAGGGGGTTTAGGATCAGTATCTTTGTTTGTCAACAGAAAAACACGTTCAAACACTTAGCAAATTTATGCGACYATTACCTATTTTTAATGATTATAGATATTTTGTCCCTGAACAAATTCATTTTTTTTACTACATATTATACATAAAATGGATCGTATTCAAGGATATTTATAAATGGGTCGGTATGAGGTGTTTTAAAATAGAAGGTTTGAAAGTTTGAAATGATTGACGAAAATAAGAATTAAATAAACCATCTCTAGAAACATCTCCCAGAATAGCCCAGATTTTTTCACCGCTGGAAGTCTGGAAGGATCTTTTAGCAAAATTTGAGAGAGAAAAAAAAAAGGTAAGTCCAATATTCAAGTGAATTATTTTAAATAAAAACTTGTATTACTTTCAAATAATTTATTTTGCAAGTATTTTACGTAATTAAAAAATGGATAAGAATTTTTTCTCATACTCCATTAAGAGATAATTTTTATGATTAATTTTTCTATGGGGAGATTAGAAGTTGTGATAATTAAAGTGGGAAACCCACCCATTGTTATCATTTGTCAAATTTGAATTATTTCTTGAACATATGACTCCCCTTCTTCCATTTTATTATTGATTTATTTTTATAATTATGATACAAAATTATATATAATTATCATACATTTATTTATTCCAAGTCAAATAATATCTTATATTTTAATTTGGCAGTTTCTCTTATTTTCTTTTATTCATTTTAATTTTTTTAGTGGGAGTAAAATGTCATGTTATATTTCACGTGAATCTAAATATAATTGAACTAGTCATATTTGAATCGTACTATTTAAAATAATATTATATTTATGTGGATCAATGTAAACCTAACTTTTAAATCATTTTAAAAGCATGGACTAATTATTTTAATTAACAATCATGTGAAGCATCAAATCTTTCCTTTTTATTTCTATATATACTTTTTAAAATGGTTCTTAAAAGAATGCTTATGTTTTTTCTTTTCTTTTCTTTATTTTACTTTTTTCTTTTTCTTATTTTTCAAACCAACTATATAACCAAGTTCTCTCTTTCTTTCTCTCAAATCACACCCTCCAATTTTTCAATTGTTCCTCAATAATTGATTTAAAACAAATTAATTATGAAATAATTATAGTATTGATTTTATTTAATTAATTCGATTTCTCCACTTATTTAATAATTAATATATATTTTTAATTTAACAAGTAACAAGATGTGAGATGGAGATTCAAACCATATATGTCTTAACTAGTTGAGTTATGTTCAGATTGACAGTTTATTAATTAATCATGACTAATACTTATTACTAGTTCTGTGAAGTTGATTTTTTTCCTTCATGTCGGGTCAATTTTGCGACTTCTTTCGACACATTGATTGAAATTTTTGGATTGAACGACATGGGTGACATTACCACGATTCTTTGATTTGATGGCATAATTAGATTATAACTATGCTAATAATTTTTAAGTGAGAATTTTGTATTTTATCATAAGATTTTCAATGGAATTGACTGCCAAGTTGCTCAGTAAATTGTAAATTCAAGGAAAATAATAGATCTAGAAGACTACTATAAATTTAGAATAATGATTAAGGGTAAACAAAAAACAATGTCAACATCACTTGTCTACTTTTATAGACATGTTTTTCTTGATTTCTTTTTCAAAGTTCAGACCATTAAATTTATCCTCATCACTGTATTTAATCCAAATTTGTTAATCATTTTTAATGGAAACTAAGCAATAGGGATTAATTTTGGTATTTATTCAAAAAGTTGGATAGGGACTAATATAGATGCCAATTAAATTTAATATTCAAAACCATGATTTTGACCCATTATTCTTAGGATTTTTATCTACATTTTATTTTCGGTCTTTATGCCTTGATATCTAATATTTTTGTGCTGCACAAAAACTTTGAGCCTAACACAAGATTTATGTAACACCATATGTGGACTTGTTTTCTGTGCCACGTGACAAATTCAATATGATTTATATTAAATGCAAAAAAAAAAAAGATAATTAACAGTAAGGACCAAAATGAATACTCATCATAGATTAAATTTAGAGTTAACCATCATAGATTCCTCAAGTAATCATTCGAGCAGGTCACGTTTCAAAGATATTAAAAATGTACTTAAATGTGTAGGCTGAGCTAAGAATTGATCGAAAAAATTATTTTTATTAATAAATGTAAAGTTTATTGAATAAAGCATCAATATTCTTTTGAGTTTCATCTTAAAGTTAATTATTTTGTTAAGTCCTTTATTTTTCAAAATCTATTAATATTCATGGAGTTCATCTCAAAATCAATTGGCTATGAGAAATGTAGTGCAGGTATATTATAAACTTATGCAACGTCCCTTCTCTTTTCAATGTGAGATCCTTTACAACATCGGATCTATCTGTTATATATATATATATATATATATAGACTTTTTTTACGGAAAAAAACAGAGAAAATTTGGGAAGATGAAGAAGTGTTTACGGAATCTCAAGCAATATTATAAAACCTTCGACTGCGACTGAAACTTGACAACTATGGACCCCAAACGATGTCTTTAGTTTGTGGAGTAGAAAATTAATTAAATTAAAAAAAAAAAGAGAACAAAATTTTGAATTTGATTCAAAACTTTATCTTTAATTGTTTGGAAGAAAACCAACAAACAAATCTTCTCTTCATTGATTCCTTTTTGTTTGCAGGCTTTGATTGAAGTGTGACACTTAGCTTTATATTTATAATTTTATAAATATTATTATGTATATAAAATTTTTTATACAAATTTATTAATACGTGTTGTAAAATTTCTCTTTATTATTATTATTATTATTTTTCCTAAGAGTGTAAAATTTCTCTTTAGATAGTTATTGATTGATTATAATCGTAATAATTTTAGTGTTCAATCTTTTTGTTTTTACTTATAATAATTTTTAAGCTGATATTTTCATAACATTTTATTTCAGTTACGATTTTGATATGCATACTACAATTATACCTTTTGTTCAAGAAAATTTGTATATTTCTAATTTATTTTTAAAATTTCAGTCAAAATTTTAAATATAAAGTCTCATTTGATAATATTTCCACTTTTTAGTTTAATAGTTTTAAAAGTTAGGCTTGTTATACCTGCAGAATCTTTTTTAAATCAAGTAGTTACAAGAATAACAACTTAACTAATTACATATTGTAAATCTTGAGGGGGAAATACTCCCCCTCAAGCTGGAAGGTTAATATCCAACATATCCATCTTGGATAACAAAAGAGAACAGGATTTACAGGGCAAAGGCTTCGTGAATATATCTGCCAACTGAAGATCCGGGCGAATAGGCATGAGTTTAATCATGCCATCAATAACCTCATCACGAACAAAGTGACAGTCTCCTGCGCTCGTGAAAGGAAGGATTAGATGCTATATGAATAGCCGCTTGATTATCACAAAAAAGCAAGGCAGGAGGTTGAAAAGGCACATGTAAATCCTTCCAAAGATGAACAAGCCAAACAAGCTCACTAGTGCTAGCAGTGAGTGCACGATACGCCGCTTCAGCTGAAGACCGAGACACTGTGGTCTGCTCTTTGGCCTTCCAAGAAACAAGACTATCTCCCAAAAAAAATGCTTGTCGACTTTCGGGAGTCCAGGCAAGAGGCCCAGTCGGCATCACAAAAGGCGCGAAGCTGGAAGGAAACAGAAGCAGATAAAAGTATTCCTTGACCAGAACACCCCTTCAAATAGCGAAGGAGATGACTGAGGCGATGAACGGCAAAAATGATATCTGGTCGGGAGATGGTAAGGTACAACAGCCTGCCAATAAGTCTGCTATACAGAGTAGGATCTTCCAAAAGCTCACCATCAAACAACATCAATTTGATATTAGTATCCATGGGCAATGAAGCTGGTTTAGAACCAAGCAACCCAGCATCTTCAATTAGTTGAAGAGGATAGTGCCTCTGTAAAGAAAAATCCCTTTTGAAGACCGTGCAAGCTCGAGCCCAAGAAAATAACGCAAAGAAACCAAATCTTTAAGCCTAAACACAGCATTAAGACGGGACTTCAAATCAGTAATGATAGACTGAGATGCACCTGTGATGATAATGTCATCAACGTAAACTAATAAAGCCATAAATGAGGCACCGGAACCACGCACAAAGAGAGAATAGTCATATTTTGCTTAACAAAAACCAAGAGATAAGAGAGGACAAGAGAACTTGTCGAACCACTGTCGAGAGGCTTGCTTTAAGCCATAAATAGACTTATGCAAACGACAGACGAGACGCTCTCCCTTAGGTGCAACCATATTATGCTTATAGCCCAACGGAAGATCCATATAAACCTCATCAACCAAATCATCATGTAGAAACGCATTGTTGACATCCAACTGCACTAATGACCAATTATAAGACACCGCCAATGTATGCAAGACTTTGACGGTAACTAGTTTGGCAACAGGAGAAAATGTCTCAATGTAATCGAGACCCTCCTGCTGAGTATAGCCTTTTGCCACCAATCTCGCCTTATAACGTTCGATGGAACCATCAGAGCGATGTTTGATCTTGTAGACCCATTTGCAGCCAATAGAATGGTGCGTGGGAGGCAAAGCAACAATAGACCAAGTATGGTTATCTTCCATTGCTTGCAGCTCAGCACGCATAGCTTCACGCCAATGGGAATGAGAAGCAACTTGATGATAATAAGATGGCTCCAAATGTGCAGAAATATTGAAAACAAACTGTTTACAAGGAGAAGACAGCTTGTCATAACTGAGATAATCCTGTAAATAAAAGTTGGACGTTGAAGCTGGTGGTGCAAGAGACTTGGCCAAATTGCAATGATAATCCTGGAGATAAGAAGGCATATGAGTAGGTCGGGATGACCTTCGAGGCATAGCAAGCACAATAGCCGAAGGTATAGCTTCATGAGGTACATCAGTATGTAAATTAGCCTCATCTGCAATTGTATGTGAAAGAATATCAGTGGCAGTAACTCCATGATCATTCGTCTCCGTAGCAATAGGCTGGTCTGTATCAGGCAAAACATCCGCATGACTGGCCGAATCAGAAAAACCAGAACCTCCAGACGACAAATTAGAAGGAGGTTGTGGAGCAACACCAGAGAAATCAAATGAGCGAGGCAATACAATGTCCGGAAAAGGATCCACAACAGTGTCATGAAGAGAGACATTATGAAACGGAAATATGTGTTCATGAAACACAACATCTCGGGAGACAAAAACAGAACCACGTTCAATGTCAAATAACTGAAATCCTTTAACCCCTGGCGGGTAACCAAGGAAGACAGCCGATATGGCACGAGGGTGAAACTTTGACCGATGTGTAGGCAACAAAGAAGCGAAACAAAGATAGCCGAACACTTTCAAGTGGGAACAATCAACATGTTGGCCATGAAGACGAAAGTATGGTGTTTCCTAAGACAAAATAGGAGAAGGTGTTCGATTAATCAGATAACATGCTGTGAGTACGCATTCTCCCCAAAATTTAATAGGCAACCGAGACTGAAAATAAAGAGATTGTGCCACATTCAACAAATGCTGATGTTTTCTCTTAACCATCGAATTTTGTTCAAGACGCCCCACGCAAGAAAATTGATGCAATACGTCTTTGCTATGAAAAACATCAGCAAAAGATAACTCGGGTGCATTATCTGGCCTAAACTGTTTGACAGTCTTCTCAAATTGTGTCTCAATAAGCCGAAAAAAACGAGGAACAACAATCAATGCATCAGACTTATGGCGAAGCAAAAACACCCAAGTATATTGCGAAAAATCATCAACTAAAGTCAGAAAATATCTAAAACCAACATGAGTTGATGACTTAAATGGTCCCCAAATATCGTAGTGAATAAGATCAAAGCAAGCACTCGCAAGATGATAATGGGAAATAAAAGACAAACGTCGTTGTCTGGACAAAGGACATATGAGACATGGATTCAAAGAAACAAACATCTTTATTGATATGCAAGAGATCTTTTAATGCAACCAAATGCTTATCAGAGGGGTGTCCCATTCTATTACGCCAAGTAGAAAGGGAAGACATACTAATAGAATCACAAACAGTATTAGTTGGAGTATAACAACCAAAAGAGACTCGACCATCACAAGCATGTAAAGGCCATTCCAAAATTCACCATTGCCAATCATCTTCAATGAGAGCTTGTTCTGAATGAGGCAAGAATTACCAACAAAATTCACCAAACATAAGTTACTGCGCGTGAGAGCACTGACAGATAATAGATTGAATCTAAACTTAGGCACAAACAAGACATTGTGGATAGTAAGTGCATAATTCACCAAAATATCCCCAGCAAACTTGACTCTAAACAGAGACTAATGTAGAAGAGTAACAGAAACACCACAAACTGGTTGCAAAGACAAAAACTTATCCTTCGAAAAGCATATATGAGCCGAAGCTCCTGAATCAATTATCCAATTATCAACTAAGGCACTCGTAGAAAATTTAGAACAAGTACTTGCCACATGGTTGTAGCAGAAGGATCTTTGGCTTTGGAGAGATGGCTGTGTAGAAGATTCAATAGCCCCTGACACTGTTCGGCATTCAAAGAAGCGAGTGAATCATTGAAAACAACAGAACCTTTGGAAGAAGAATCATTCACAAAAGTCAAAAATGAAGAAGAACTCTGTGAAGCACTGCGTGTGCGGTACCCAAGGGGATAACCGTGAAGCTTATAGCACCTATCAACTGTGTGACCTTGTAAACCACAATGAGTGCAAATAGAGCGCTCTTTATTCTTGCCAGTAGAAGCCAAAGAACTAGAATTGCCAGACACGGCCGATTGAGAAGAAGCTCTTGTTAAGAGAGCAGTTGGAGAAATCACAGTCGGAGACGAAATGACCCGCTGTTGAGATTCCTGAGCGACTAGGGCAAACGCGCGATTAATGGAGGGCTCGGGCTCCATTAAGAGTAATTGGGCGGGCAATTGACTGAAGGAGTCGTTCAATCCCATGAGAAACATCATAACGTACTCCGTTTGAAAGTGATCAGTAACAGCTTGCACACCTCCGCAAGAACAACGACCACATGTGCACGACGGTCGATAAGACGCTAATTCAGTCCACAGCGTCTTTAATCAAGTGAAATAGGTGTTGACAGTCATTTGATCTTGAACGAGTGAAGACAATTCGCGACGCAATTGAAAAATTCTTGGACGATTTTGACGTCAAAATCGCTCACGAAGATCAAGCCACATTTCACGGTCTGTCTCGGGGAAGAGGAGACTAGCAGAAATCTCCTTGGACAGAGAGTTCAGAAGCCAGGCAATCACGATGCTATTGCAAATAATCCAAGAATTGAGTAACTCACCAGTAGGTCGTTTAATTGAGCCATCAACAAACCCTAGTTTATTCTTGACTGTGAGAGAGATTGTCATAGATCGACTCCAAGAGGTGTAATTCTCATCCGTAAGCAACTCAGGAACAAGAACAAGGCAGGCTTGTATTGTCTGAATGATGGATGAAATAAGGATTTCCACACTAATCAATAGAAGCAGCAGAAACTGGTACTGGAATCGCTGGGGTAATCGAATCCGATGGAGTATCATCAATTGGAACAAAAGAATCAGTGGGCGTAGCCATGGCGATGGAACAAAGAAAAACTAGAGTTAACAAAGACAGTTGAACTCAGGAGGGAACCCACAAAAACTAACTCTCAGACAAAATTTTCATCTGATACCATATTGAGATCTGAGGGTAAATTAAACTTTGCTCAATCTTATTAATCAACATAAGGCCAAATATAATGAATATGGCAGCAACATATTGAAGTAGTTACAAGAATAACGACTTAACTATGTAAATCCTAATAATATATATATATATATATATATATATAATTTTAGATGATTTAATTCTCATTCCATTGATTTTTATTTTCATCATCTCTCATGTTAATTCTAGTATCATTAGAGCAATATTGCTTTTTAAAAGAAATTAAACACTAAATAATTTTATTCAATTGTGCAGTTAAAAAAAAGTGATCGGTTAAAAAATATATTTTTTAGAATGTGATGATTCAAACGTAAGCCCATTGTTTACTGGTCAATTAGTCTTATATCAAATTTGCCTTTTTTTTTTTTTTTCTGGAACATTTGAAATATGTTACACACTGAAAGGAATTTCCAGCAATCTAGCACATGATTCCTGTCTTTGATCATTATTATAATGATTTTCTAGTACTACCGCTGCTCTAATATTATTATAATTATCAAAGCGAGCATAGTTCAACGATAATTGACATATATAGTGTTAGAGGTAAATTTCAACATACACGTGGTAGGTGATGAGTAGATGCAAAATGTGACACGTGGCTCATGAATTCATTCCACAAAGAAGCTAAGTATATACATCTCGGCTCATTCCTTTGACCGAGCCGACTATCCTCAGTGGCCGAGCCGAACAAGTTTGCTAAAGATCGCGTTCCCATACTAACTGGCTGAGCCGATTGCTTTAAAGAGTCGTTGAGGTCTTGTCGAGAATGTTGTCGAGGGCTTCGCCTATAAATAGAATCATTTCGTTCATTGTGAGGTACGTGAACATTCCGATTCTCTCTTGATTTAGTTTGGACTTTTGCTGACTTTGGCATCGGAGTGCTCACTCTGTTTTGCAGATCCGACTCTCGAAATTCACGGTTCAGCTCATTCTGTGTGAACCGACATTCACGGTGTTGAACGATTTTCTGATTCAACATATAGTTTAAATGATCTTGAGTTCGATCATCCACTCCACATGTTGTATTAAAAAAAATTATTATAATTAATATGCACTTTTTGGATTCTTTTAATACATAATTTTAGTGTATGTATTAAAAGTAATGCACTCAGAAGCACTAACAAACCTATCAAACTGATATAATCATCCCTTAAAAAGACRATCTTTATAATAACTGATTTCTCAAATTCAATTTTTTAGGAATTAAGTTGTCTAAAATCTAAAAATAACTCAAACACCTTCCACCAAAAGATTGAAGATTCAAATTTCGTTCTAATTCAAAAAATTGAAATGAAAAATTGTTCGAAATGATTTTTTTCTAGTTTATTAATTATTTAATTTTAACAAATAATATTTGTTGAATTTAAATAAACCGTTGAGATAAAACTTTATTTTATTATTATTAATATTTTTTTTAAGTGTAACTAATCAACGGAAGAATAGCTTAATCGATTCAGGCACAAAATAATCTTTTTAAAAGTTAAAAGTGAAATCCTCGCTCTATCTATTATTAATTTCAAATTAAATAATAATAATAATAATAATTAATCATCAGTAATTATTATTCTATTTAGTACATACAATTTGAATGGACTGCCAACTTGAACGTGATTAAAGCATATATCAACATACATCTTCGATTAAAAAATCGTGATTTTGAATTTCTTATGGAATATATATTTTGGTAGTAATAATATGTTTAATTTTCATTCCAAACAGTATTTAGAAACATTTCCATATGTATATATAACATCACTTTTTCTTTAATTTATTTCATACCGATTATTTGTTCTTCAAATTTTATTAAGTAAATTAAAGCTTAATTTATCAACAACATTAAAAAGGAAAAAAAAAAAGTATACAAATTTTGTAGCTTGCACGTGTTGCATGTTCTTTCCAACAAACATATCCCTTTTAATCGGCTTTTTCACCATTACCTTTCCGAAAGTAATTTTGAAAAGATTAGCCTATTTATTTTTCCAATGGTTGATGCAATATTCTAAGTCTAAGTGTAAGGGTCTAGTTGAGGAGATATTTTATAAATAATTTTGAAATGAAGTCTTCCTTTTATAGGTTGAGGATCTGATCGGTAGTTATATGTGTCGTTYCGAAGGTTGAGTTGTCGGGTGCATAAGTTCAAGAGTAGGTAAAACCTTCCGCCGTATGAGGTTTTTACCATACAGTTTTACGATTAAGTATGAAAGTCGATCCTTCGACAAGTGGTCGTCAAGGGAGATCCTATGGTCTTTCAAATCTTCTTTTATCTTCCAAATAGCAAAATTATTTTTTGACCCACAATAAAATATAAAATTTTTGAAACAATAATAATCATCACGATAGGAAGATAGCAATATTGGTATTATCTTTTCATTTTTAAATCTTTAAAATGCTTTAATTTAACAACTTTAATCGTTCAAGAATTTTTAAGATAAAAACCGATTGCGACTATGTAATAGAATAATTTACGTGTCTAATATATATGATAGACAATCATACGACGTAACTATGATTATATTTTTATGCTATCTATAATAGTGCCAACGATGTTGATTTTTATTTTGTTGATATTAGAAAATTTTATGAAAAGTTGGAATTGGAAATGAATTTTTCTTCTCCCTATCTTTTTAAAGTTTTCATTATTAGCTGTCCCTATTATTCGATGAAAACGACTTGCCAAATGCTTTCGTAATTAATCTAACAAAAATCTAATATATTGTTGATCAATTTCGACAATTTAAACATAATTCAATGAATAAGATATTTATTGTCATTTTTTTATCCAACCCTGCGATGGCTGAACTTGAAAAAAAATGAAAATATATCACAAAATTGAAAAAGATTCTAAAATATTGTTAGTCTTATGCTATTTCTCTACTAATGCTTTTTAGCTAAAATAATAGCATAAAATTCAGTCTAAATTCATTGTTGTTCAACCATTGCGATCTGTCACATCTTTTAAAAAAATCACATTATTAAACTTTATTTTAAATATTCATAACATTTACAGAAGATATATTTTAGGCTATATTTGAAACTATAATTATAACTCAACCATTTTTAAAGAAAATAATTAAAATTAAGTTATATATATATATATATATATATATATATATATATATATTACGTCCATAATGTTAATGAAGTAAGCCTACATTTATTTTATTGTAATAAGCATTTAAAAAATGGCAAAACCAACAGCTCAGAGTTCCATTAACCAAACAAAAACATTAGAAAAATAGATGAAAACGTCACTGATAAGAACATCGCCATATCTGATTTCTGAGGCTTAAAATTTATATAATATAATCTTTGGTCGCATTTGGTAAGAGAATTAATTTAAGAACTCTTTTTCTAAAAGAAAATAATAAAATCTCCTTTTTATAATTGATTTGTTCCATAATTAATATGGACACCCGCGTCATAAAATTCACTGTTAAATAATAAGATTATAAAAACAAACGAACTTTTCAACTAAAAATGAAATTAAAATGAATCCAACCGACAAGGTTTTCTCTAGTTTCGTTGCAATTTAGAAAAAGAAAAATGCAAATTTAGAAAAGAAAAAAAAAACGAAAACATGGGATTAATAGAAACTAGTGACATAAGTTTTTAAAGTTAGACTATAAAACGTATAGAAATCCATCCCATTATTTCATTGCTATGATCCCTAAAATCCAAAGATAAGGTCTTAAAAAAAAGAAAGAAATGATCCAATGTGACGGATACAACATAACCGTCACTTTTATAACCATTGATCATAAAATAGATATAAAGAATCCATTGTGAATTCATGTATAGTTCGTTTAATAAGATACTAATTACTTTCTTGATAGTAGAAAGTTCAATCTTCCACCCCATATTTGTAGTACTAAAAAAGATTCAAATAATTTTTAGTCGACTATAATTGAATAGTTATAGACAATGTGGAACATAGCATTAGAGGCTCCCTAAAATTGAAAAAACTTTATAATAAAAAATTCAGGACTACATGAATATTATACTCTTTTTTGTTTACACAATAATAGAAGTAATGGATCCCACATCATTTTGAATACATGAAAGGAACTATGACACTCTCGAAGTACAAGAATTTTATGAAATTTCGAACTTCGATCTTAGAAAAATCAACGAATTTAATCAATTGAGTTATGCATAGATTGAAAATTACCCGTGAAGGAGGAAGGCCAAGATTTACATGTTCATTGCTCTTAGATCCATAAGTTTTACAAGATAACACCCAAAAATAACCCAACATCTTGTTTCCCCCATTATTATTCCTTGTCCCAAATGCCAACCAATCAAGACATAATTCCAACTCTAAATCTAAAATCCCAACAATACCCCCCCCCTCTGTTTGGCTGCCAAGAAAAAGTTCATTCCAAGAGAGAGAAATCAGTAGTCCTCAAATATATCTGCAGAGGCCATGAGTGGGTGGTTCATATAGAAAGCCATTTGCAAAGGATTAAAAGACCCCCCACCCCCACCCCCGCTGCCCCCGCCGCCGCCGCAGATATCAAAAGGGTCAGGAGAGAAGTATCCAGCGGCGGCGGCGGCGGCGGTGGAATCGGGGCCGCCGCATCCGGATTCGAGAATCCCATTAGTGGGGTTCAAGAAATGGATGATTTCAGCCAAGGACTGAAGACGGTGGTCGAGCTCCGCCGCCTGAGCTCTGAGAATGGAGTTCTCTGCTTCGACGGCGGCGAATTGCTGCGCAGTGGCGCCGAGAGTGGCGAGGATCTGGTGATTGTCCTTGGTGAGATGGGCGACCTGCGCCATTAAATCGTCCAAATGCTTCTGCTTCCTCAACCTGGATCTCCTCGCCGATTCCCGATTCGAAACCATCCTCTTCCTCTTCCTCTGCTCCATCAACGCCGCCGCCTGCATCTCCTCCTCCGACCCACAGCTCTGAACCACCGACGAATTCGAACACGTCCCACTCGAGGAACCCATTACAGACCCAACAACAGAAAAGAAACAGAAACAAAAACAGATGTATCAATCAATTAAATTAATTAACTTTTTCTTTAATTTGGGGATTAGGTTATATCATGAAACGTAGTAGAGCCAGTAGAGGAAGACGACGGAGAAAGATTGAACGAGATGATGGGTGGCGCGGCGGAATGTGAAGTTATTTATCATACAACCACAACGGAGGATTTCACTCAGAATTAGATACATCAATCTCAAACATCACAAACAGAGTGTTGGGCATCAGAGCTTTGTGAGAACTGAGAAACAGGGGATTGTGGAGAAGACCCAGATGGGGAAAATGGGGGAAATGAAGAAGAAGAAGAAGAAGGGGAAGGGGCAATGAAGGCATTGAGGGGCAATTTATAGGAGATTGAAGATGAAATGCTAATGGGTGTGGTGTGGGTGAGAAACAAAAATCTATTATTTTTATTTTCTTTTTTTTGGGGGAGGGAAGTGAATAAAAAAATGAAGAAAAATAAAAGTAATTATTAATTAATTTTAAAGAAGAAAGGAAGAAAGAAAGAAAGAAAAGAGAAATAGGAATGTGGTGTGTGAAAAGGTGATGGGACATGTGGGCCGTGTGGTTAGGGGAAGGGTTAAAAAGGCTTTTCTTACTGTACCTCTACAGCTGTGAACCAACAAAACCACAATAAATATATATATATATATATATATATATTTTTTTTTTAACAAAAAAAACTTATATTCTTTGATAAATAGCTAGCAACATTTAACGACATGTTTGTTCATATTTCTTATTTTTATTTTCTCATTTTTAATAAACAAAAATAGAATTGCATGACTTTCGATGTATATAAAACAATATTTTTATTTGTATTGGAACAGATTGGAAATGGGAATAAGATACAAGAAACTTGTTTTTTAAAATTAAAAATTACTAATAAAATTATTAATGAGATATAATATCAAATGAAAAACATTAAATGGAAACCTTATCAAATGAGATATAATATTATTGTATTTGTTTCTTTTTTTCATTGAATAAAACAGAAATATGTTTGACAACAATATAATCATGAAAGTAATTTTTTATATAAAATTTAATTTTTTAAAATCGAATGTTAATAAATATTATGTTATATTTACTATTTTTTATTTATTAAACCTTTTATAAGTAAAATAATAAAATCATACTTTTATTTATGTTAAAGAAAACATTAAAAACAAGAAATAGATTAAAAAACTTGATTTTGTTATTTTCACAATTTTGGAACGTTTCTTGAAAAGGAGAAATAGAGATAGTTATCAAACATATGTGTTGCTCAAAAATTGAAATGAGAAACCAAGAACAATAAATGAGTTGAAAATGTTACCAAACTAGTCTTAATTTACTTGTACTTTTTTTTTTAATACAATACATGAGATGGGGGATTGAACTCATGTTCGTTGGAGATGTATGCCAAACTAGTCCTAATTTACTTATTATAATTTTCTAAAGAGAAAGATTTGATCTTCAGTTGAAATCAAAAGAAAATGGTGATACAAGATTCTGATTTAAATCTTATTTTCTGAGGGAATACCCAATTTTTTCTTTCAATAATATGTGGAGTGAGAGTTCCAACACACCTGATATTTGTTGGAGATACATATGACCTATTAGTCAAATATAAATGTTAATCTAAGTTCGTGACAAAGTTTAGACCTTGCTATTCTTAAAGATAAAATATTAAAAATAGATGTTTTGAAAGTTTATAAATCAAATTGGACTATATCTAAAAGTAAATACCCAAGATGAGATATACAAGGACAAAAACTATGTTATTTTTTGATTTTTTAAGTGCAATTTATTCTATTGATAAAAAAAAATAGTGTAAGCTATTTTAAAAATATTAATTGTTGATTTATTTTGATTTCTAATCTTTCATCTTCATAATATATTGAGATTAATTTTAAGGTGAAGAAAGAGATTTTCTGTCTTAAAAAAAAAAAAAGGAGAGATTTTCTATTAGACTAGTAGGGAAAGTTTACGCATACTTATATTAATATTTTTTCGCTTTTCTAATTGATATAATGATTTACTTTCAATTTATATAATAACATCTTTTGAAAAAATTTCTCTCCAACTAGAAACTATAGGATGATTGTTTCATCTATCCAAATTTCTATAATAAATACTATGTTCCATCAACATAGGTCAATAAACAAAACTAAAGATAAACCTATTTCAAAATTTAAAAATATAACTATAACTTTTGAGTTAAATAGATTTCGTACCCAAAATATAAGAAAAATTGTAAATTTAATTCTTATTTTCCTATATGAACTTTCAAAATTTTTATTTTGATCTTTAACTATTTTACGAATTTATTTTGGTCTTTTATCTTTATCGAGATATGCTTCCAACATGGGCAGAGGGACATATTTACACAGGTCAGGGGGGCTTGAACTCCCTTAAATTTCGAAATATATTATATTATTAGTTAATAGTTTAATTAACTCAAGTTAACAAGTTTGTTTCTTGGCTTGGTGGCACATGTGTGTTCAACCTCCCATTGATTTATTATGATGTATTTAAATCAATAATTTATTTATAAATTTTGAAATCAGTAACTTTTAAATTATTTCAACTAAATTTTAAGTGAAATATTCTTAATAAAAATTCTGAATCTTACACTAATTTTGACTACACGTATCAACGTACTGACGTGAAGCATGTATTGAAATTATGAAAAGTTAATTGAAATTATGAAAAGTTAGTTGAGATTAATATTGGATGAACAAATGTTAGGTAACAACGTCAAAGCAATGACAACGAGAAGTATTTTTCTTTAAAAAAAATTCATAACTAAAATAGACGTGTTAGAAGTTCGCAAACTAGAGTGATAATTTTTTTTTCTTTTCAAAAAATACATATAATATAGCAACAACCTTTTAGTTTTGTGAATATGACAAGAAATTTGAAATCACATTTTCGATCTTCTTGTATTTCAATTTTACCTTTTTATATTTTCAGGTATATCAAATCAGGCATATCATTAGTACATCGACATTTATATAAGGTACATTATTTACCTTAATTTACTACATACAAAGTATATCAGTTAATCGATATACCATATTTATCACTAATATACTTTGAGAGTAAATTGGATTTTTTCTATATCAATTTTTACAAAATTGAAATGTGGTTACTAATTTTGCAAATAACTATTAGTTTTTTTTTCTACTTTTGCAAGTGCCATTTTTTATGATAAAGAATGGAAACTTGAACCTATGATCTCTATAATAAACCATTAACACTATGATTTTTTTTTAGTGATGATTCAAACAAAGAATAAGTATTTTAATTAATTGAACTAAATTCATATTGATATTTTAACATCATGATCAGTTAACCACTCTGAACTAGTCTAATGACACTAGAGCATGGAAAATGGACTCGAGTAATTTGGCAGCAATGATTCAATTTATAGCCACCTACCCAAGATAAAATCCGACTAATTACGTAGAAAAAGTATATATTGATTTAACAAAAGTAAAATAAAATAATTTGATGTAAACAAACTCTTAATTAATTGTGACTCTATGATAATTTGAGTCTCTAGGGACAGGGAACAAGTGGGGAGGGGACAACCTAATTTTCACCGCCACAAGTACCACACCACTATGAATCAGAATCTGTCTCTGATTTTGTTCTTCAAATAATATTAATATTTGCAATTGCATTACATTTTACAGATGATATTCTGACAAAACTTTAGTACTTTTTTTTAATTTTTTTTTAATTTTTAATTTTTTGAGCTTTGAGAAAGGAAAAAAGAAAATTAAAATTTTGCAGATCTTGTTGTTGTGTTGTTAGGTACCGCCCCTTCATTATACTCCCAGCTCAACTCTGCACCTTTTTAAATTATTACCCCTGCCAATTCCCCAAAATGCCCTTGGTTTTTCCACTATTTTTCTGGGGATTTGTATGGTAAAGATGTCATTTTGTTTTGCGAGTATGGACCATGTGTGGTGTGTCTTCCTAGGCAATTTTGTTTTTGTACTTTTTTATGTATGTTTTTTGTTTTTGTTTTTGTGAAACATCAATTGAACAAGTATAGTGTGCCAATCTCAACTTCAGTGGACCACACACTCTCTTTGGTAACTATAGGGGTATTTTAGTAATTTGATTAAAGAATTCTCGATTATTCTTCGATGTGTTAGAGTGGACTCGAACTTGAATGAGTGGTGAAATGTAAATATGAAAATAGCTCGATTAGTTAGAGATATTAATGAAAATCTAGAAAGAAAAAAAAAGGGTTTTGAAGTTAATATCTTTTGTTGGTAGGTTTTTTATTCTTTATAAATGAGTAACATTATTTTTTGTTAGGTAGGGTGTGTTGGATTTTTTCGATTTTGGAATTTTGGTGTTAGCTTTCAAAATTTTTATTTTATTGGATTTTAGAGGATTCATGAACTGTCGGATGTTTTATTTTATTTTGAAAATTATTTTACCAAATAGGGTTTTTTAATTTTGAAAATAGAAAATTATTTTTAAATTCTAATTCCAACATACTTTTCCCCTCCCGCTCCCATATGTTGTACTAAAAAATATATTCTAATCGACTCATTGGATTAAAATTACTATATATATTGGATGTAAGTTTTAGGAAAATTTAGCATGTAGGATGGATCTAATTAGGTTCAAAAGAGATTTTAGACTTAGACAGCTACAAACTTATCTAGTCTAAATTTAAAATGATCATTAGTTAGACGATGGATCAAACCGCTAACATGAACGTAACTCTTAAGAAAAAATGATGCATAAAACAAGTAACATTCTAATTCAGTTGATTTAAGTTTCCTACCATAATATCAGCAATTACAGTAGTTATTAGATACTTCTAGTGTTTAAGAAATTGTTGCTTGTCTAGTAGTAGCGATTAAACAAATTGTTGCATCGAAAGAGAAACAAATGTTGACACCAATTACAAATTGTTGTTAGATTCCTCGCAACTTCTACCAACAGTTTGTGAAATGTTCTACAGTGCTAAAAACTACCGCTATAGCTCAATAAAATCATTGTAACATACTTGTTTTTTGTACTGATCATAATAATTGTGATAATTCACATCAAATCATGTGGTTGTACGTGTTGTGAACTCAGAAACCTAAGTTTTATAGGCGAGTCTCCTTACCCAAGATCAACATAAATCCAAACTTCTAAAACATGCTTTTCAAACTATACATTATAGGCTCCTAAATCACAAACTCATCAATCAAATACATGCTAGTACTTTAAATTGTTAGGTACGATTAATTTATTTATGTATTTCATACTCACGATACACAATCCTACGCTTTAAAAAATCAAAAACCAAAAAAAAAAAGGAAATTTGAAAAAAAAAAAACTCTTTCCCATGGAGTTTGGGGATATGGGTGTGGAAGTTGGGTTGGCTTTTAGGACAAAGGGGTTGCATGTGAATGACCAATTTTGAGTGTGAGTGTTTTTTTTTCCTCTCCTTTATGTAAAAAGAACATATATTATATGTACTGAGTTATCTTATCTTTATTCTTTAGCCAAAAGCCAAACCATAGAAAAATAATAATAATAATAATAATAAAGTAACAAGAAAAAAAAAAAAGATTGTATGTATTTTGAAAGTAGGAAAAAGAGAAGAGTCTACTTTAGGAATGGG